TCTATTAGATGTTCAGAGAAAAACATTTGAAAACATAATGATGGATCTAGGGATACACACCATACTGTATGCAACATACAAAACAACTTATCTCACAGGACATTGTTAAAGCTAGAATCTGTGATTAAATTGCCCCCTGTTGTATTCTCACAGGTGACCACTAGTGGCTATTTAAATGGAAATTGGTCACATTTTATACATCACTTTTCCATCTTCAAGACACTCAAAGCACTTCAGATCAAGAACCCAACCACCCATTCACACGCACATTCATACACCAGTGTAAGCAGACACTGGGGGTGAAGTGTCTTGCCCAAGGACACAATGATAGCATTCATCTGTGTTGGAATCGTACATCAACCAGTGGGTCAATGGATTTGATTGCTCTAGCAACAATGTTTATGTTGAGAGCGGGATTTGAACCACCAACCTTTGAATGAATGGACAAACACTATCAACTGAGTTATTTCAGATTTCACATCGGCCATCTACTAGCAAAAAAAAATCATATAAACTTGCAGAGGGTAGTTTGAAAGTAACATAATATTAGAAGATAAAATTTTAACCATAGCCATAGACATAGGTGAGATTTCAGGCTTGCAATACATTTATGAGAACTCTGTAACGTGTTTTTTCTCACATAGATAGAATATATATAGAGAGGTTTAAAATTCTCTGTGTGTTGTAATGGGTTTTGAAGCTGCTTCCACTTTAGCCCACAACAAATTATCCCCAAGGACAATCCAGTTGAATATACACACTCAAAGAAATCCATCTGTAAAGCAATGTGAGGCTTTCTCTCTAAATCCAAGACTTCAAGGACATCACGTGCTTAAGGCTCATAGGTAAGACTAGATTTGGTCCTAAAGAATGATAAATGCTGAAAATATACAGAGTTAGCCCATAGTAACAGTCACAATTATGACACAGATGCAAAATAATAACTTAAAACACAATGAATGATGTGCAGTCCACATATAGTACGCACGCTTTCCAAGAAGTTCTCCAGAAGATCGTACTCTATTTACTGCAAGATAGGGTCAAGGCTGAGGTTCACTTGTGAATTTGGTTTGTAATTTTTGACAGTTTAGTACACAGTCTTTATCAGAGGAGATTTCAAGTTGACTGTGAACAGATGGTGAGAAAAGAGGCAGTGTGTGTGTTTGCGTAGGCTGGTCCCTGTCATGTTTATGCATGAGATAGCCTGCCTCTGTCTGTCAGTTTCAAGTGTCTGATGCAAATGCCACCATTAGACAGAAGCAAAACAATTTTACTCACCTTTGACCAAAAACATCTATAATCTAGAAAATGGGTAATGACTAGTTATTTGTGTCCATAATAATAATAATAATGCCTCATATTACAGTTGCAATGTGCTTTACAGGCAAAATCGAACCTAAATAGCTGTCATTTCATCTTGGAGAGACTCAAACGGACACAAAGAGAAAATATTAGTAATTTTATTGAATGAGTTCTCTCTGGCAGAAGACAATGCAGAGGACAATGCAATGAAGGGTGTGACTGATTAGATGTTGTGGGCCTGGACACTGGAGGTGGTAGAAGTGAGGCCAAAGAGAATAAAGTCAAGAGGTACGGTGAGCAGCGGGGAGGAGTATTTGGAGTCAGGGATGAAGACTGAGGAGCAGGTAAACAGAGAAGTAATAAGGCAGACAGACTGGAGTGCAATTGAGTCTTCCAGGCTAAATTTATGCTACCTCCATCAGTCACATACTGAGCCATTAAGCCTATCCAACCACTCATGCACACGCCTTAAGACTAGGCACGAGGTTTCTCCAATAGGCAACAGATGTATTAGTGTTTGCTCACCAACCAGAAGGGACACTGTGCATATTGTTGCTGTGTCCTTCGGCAGGACAATTCACCCATCTGCCTGGTGTGAATGTGGTGCTTGAATGAGTTACAGCGACCAGTGACAGTAGCTCAGGTAGTAGAGTGTTTGGAAGAGTGATCTGAAGGTTGGCGGTTTGAATCCTCTACTCTTAATATAAACATCATTAGTTGAATGTCAGATCCACTGACTCTCGGGCTGGTGGTGCGATTCCAAATCCCACAGATAAATACTTTCACTGAGTCCCTGGGAAAAACAGATAACCACTCTTGTCCCAAATGTCTGCATACACTGGTGTATGAGTTTGTGTGTGAATGGGTAAGTGGTTCCTTGAAATAAAGCTCTTAAAGTACCTTCAAAGTGGAAAAGCACTATATAAAAATATGACCATTTACGATCAGCAGTGGTCATAGGGGCTATTACGCAACTATGGCTACTACTATGTAATTACCAATGAGTATGGTTAGTGAATTGGCAATGCACAAAATTGGCAACATTGAGAAACTGTGAAGAACCATAGAAGAATAACGCATTATTAAAGACATTTTTTATTCTCAAAATTCTGGGCTGGTGTCCTTTAGTCCCGTCTGAGGATTGACTGCCAAAACTGGTTACCCTTTTGGCTTTAAAAAATCAAAATGCGGAGCTGAACTGAGAACAAAACTTGTGCTGTTACATTTAAAACAGCTAGTTTCTCTCTGTCTGATTTGGTAAAGCTGAAGGGTGTTTGAGGCCATAGTTTGAGTAATTCATTTTTGACCATGACGTTGGAACTGATTTCTCAAGGGAATTCAATCACCATCACTAAACAGATGTGAAACTAAAAAAGCACATTCTCTCCATATTGAAATTCCCTACGTGTCTAGCAGATATCTAAATTCTACATCACAGTGCACCTTCATCTTTGCATTCTTTGCCCATTCTATGTCTTATTCACTATAGGAGATACTGTAATAATAACGGATCATAACAGTTTCATCCAAGATCATCAAACCCAAATGTGACAAATTATGCAAGAAATTCAGGCTCAATTTCTTTTAATTTTGTGTTGGAGGTCTTTTCCAAGGCTGCTGAATCACTCATTATTCCTAAAAGAACTTGTAAAAAAGCTGCCTTTTTTGAACTAACAACCATGAGATGAAACTTTAAGTAGGTCCACCCAGTGCATGTTTATTGTTGACTAATAAACAAAAACACACAAAGAGCCTTTTGTTGTACAATGTGAGCTGACTAAACTATCTATTTGTTTATTCAGTTATCATTTCATAGCCCTTTGTCCTCAACAGCATCAGGTAGGCATTAAACTAAAAATGGCACTTTAGCAAATGGATTTGTCTGCACACTACAAGAAAAATAAATGTTCTACAGTACCATGTGCTAAAACTTTTTATCTAGATATGGAGCTAACACAAATAATACACTGTTTTCTTTTCATGGGATTGAGAGGTTGGTCATTCATATTTACTCTTATTACCTACTTACTTACTGTACTATTCGATGTGTAATCTGACTAAAATCCACCATCATTTTTGTCGACTAGTACAGCTGATGTCATCAACATTCCCTGGGAGTTTGATACTATCTGTGGGCTCTGCTCTGTCTGAAGCTGTATAACACTTTCAAAGCAGTGGAGCTGATTGCTGAAATTGTGTTGTTTAAATCTTGCTGAACATTCTGCCAATAGAAATAGATGTGGAACACCCCCAGGTTGTCACTGCAAAGTATCAATGTATGCAGTAAATCAAAAGAATTTAATGAAAGTTAAAAATAAAAACAGCGTAGCCATGAGGTGTTCTGTGGTATTATGAATTACAGTTTGCCGGACTTCTGTTTCTGATGCTTTGGGCTGTCCTGTTGGGTTGAGTAGGTGTGCAATATTAGTTTGCACTAAATGCTGCGTGGCATTAACGTGTGGTTGCTATGGAAACCAATACAGAAGAAGCACCTGACTGTCGACATGTGGCCTTGTTGTTTGTTGAGAAATGTAGACAGATGGTTCAGATAATTCAATAATTCAAGAAGTGTAATAGTTGGATTTTACTTGAGATTTGCAAATAGTCCACAGTATAAATTGAGCTGTGGGGCAAGTCAGACTTCTGTGGTAGAATTTGCTGTTGCTGAATTGTGAAAATACAGAAATTGAGTTGTGGTGTATGTTTATAAGTAGGCTATCTCTGAAATTATACCCGGCCTAAAGAAGCTCAGGCTGGCATAATGTTGTAACCAACCCTTATGAAATTGTTACAGTAAATTTCGGGCTTTTTATACTACTTTACACACAAAAGCCCTGGTACTTCTGGTATAACAATGTGAACCTTTCACAGACTTTATTAAGATTGGTTTCTCGCAATGGCCCGAACCACTTCCAAAAAGTTCCAAGTCAGTTCTAACATGTAAGTAAACAAAGCTCCAACAGATGGTGCTAGACGTGTATTTGTTAACTTGTGAAATCGAAAGCAGATTGAAAACGTCCAAAAACAAAATCTGATTATGCTGCTCTTCTTACACTGAAGATCTCTGGACTATAAAAAAAGACCAGACATTTCACAGAGATGTACAAGTAGAGGGAAGCAACTCTGGAGATGGACATAACATGCAGAATTACAGAAATAACAAGACCAGACAGAGGCAGAAGCAGATCTTGTAGAAAATCTCAAAAATAATGCCATGGACCATCACAATATATCAAATTACAATCTTCTTCTTTTAAATGCATTATTTTGTTCCAGCAAGTGCTATAAAAACAGAGGGCTCTACCATGATTCTTTTTTTCCATTTTACTCCAGATGAGAAAATAATTTATTACTTAGTAGTAGAAGTAGTAGTAGTGATTTGATAAAGAATTTAGCTTATTTAAATTATTCTATTGCTTTCTTTCTTTTTCTTTTTTTTACTTTTAACTTTTCAGTCCAAATCTAAAATGTAGTGGAGTAGAAAGTATAGATACATGTTCTCAAATGTAGCAAAGTAAAAGTATAAAGTATCCACTGTAAAAAAAAAAAAAACTTAAGTAAAGTACAGATACTTAAAAATGTTCTTAAGCATTATACTTTACTTCATGACCTTCCAACACTGATCGTGATCATACTGTGAGATTTGTACAGTTACATCCATACTAAATAAAACATTGCATAATGTAAGACATACATACCTCCCACTGTGAGAACATGGAGTTTTCATATCATTTATGTAATATATAGTCACGTGTGAGCTGCAGGGACAAAAACACACAGAAGTCACCAGTCTGTTGGAGCAGAGTATCTCACTGTAAATGTGGTCTCTTTTCACGTACACTCTGGAAATCACAGGAGCGTTGCTCCTGTGGCTACAGCTTCTTTCATCTGCTCTTGTCGACAGTATCTGATGTTGCCTCCAGCCAAGCACCTGATATGAGACAGACCTCACAGCCACACAGTGAAGGGAGTGCAGAGCTACATTCATAACTAACGCATAGATAATTGATTATGAACAACATACTGTAGAACTGAAGGTTAGAAAAAACAGATATTCATGATTTGTTTAGGCTACATAATTTGTCATATCAAAAATATACATACATATCATTTTCTGTGCCAAGTTACAGATGGACTATGGAGATATTACTGCCTTTATCTAGAATGTTTCACAGTATAGCATTAAACTCAACCACCTCCATGGAGACAAGCAGGTGGCACAACCAGGCCAAGTTCCAAGTCCTGTCTGTGGGGAGACTGCTCTGCTCACAGTAAGTATCAAGGTATGTCATTTATTTGAACACTAATGGAATAATGAGAGTTATTTGGAGGACATCCTTTTGTAGTCATTATTTTCTTCATTTTTTCTTAAGTATAGCTTTAAATCACAAAGCACTTACACGGACAAGGTCTCATGCTCTTTTCGTTACAATGCTGGGTGCATCCACAATATTGGCAGCCATGACTGAGTGTCTTCATTAGAAATATAATGGGAGGGTTGTGTGCCATATATTGTTTGCTTTTGTCAGAGATTGCCTCTGCTAACAGGAGTTGGATCTATAATTGACTGCATTCATTTGCCTGGCATATTGCTTATACACATAATCAAAATACCAGTGCCCTTCATGTGTAACTCAATTATAATTCACAACATGGTGATTTGTGGCAATTTTTGTGTTTACATTGTTCATTAGAGGAAGTCTGTGTAACTTTTCTGGTGAAGGACTGCCTTTTGCTTTTCACAACAGTTGTAGTAGTAGAGGGTAGAATGTTTGTCCACTGATCCGAAGATTGGTGGTTCAAATCCAGCTTTCGACATAAACATCATTGGTAGAGTGGTCAATTCCACTAACCCCCCAGTTGGAGATGCGACTTCAGCTCCCACAGATGAATGTTGTCATTGTGTCCTTAGACAAGACACTTAGACAGCCTACTTTGCCCCTGGAGTCGGTGTACACTGATGTATCAGTGTGTATGAATGGGTGAATGTGACCATTTACTGTACCATTTCAAAATACTTTCTTAGCTTGGAATGTCCCAATTTCCATGGAGACAAATAGGCAACACCACCAAGTCAAGTTGTAGAGCAAATGTGTGGAGAGGCTATACTGTATATAACATCTCACAATAAGAATGAATGGTTTTTAGCTGTTAAAAAACAAAAAACAAAACAAAACATGTAACTGAATAAATGCCAGAGACATGTTTAGTGCTGTGTGGAACATTCTGGGCATATCAATAACATCTCCATGGAGACAAACAGGATGCGGACCCTCCACCAAAAAAATCATCATGAAAGTCATGAACCAGATCTCACAAGTTTCAGACAAATACACCAAAAGACTGAAAATTAGAGGTAAACCCCTTGTAAACTCATTTCAAATCCATTTCTAATTTGTGTTGGCAGTAGCTCCAGTGAATCTGTTGTACTTAACTAGTTTAGTTTAAACTTTTTACTGCCTTTGAAACTGGAAAATGTATTTAGTTTTTGAGGTAATAATGGAATATATTATGCAAAAAAAATAAAAAATAAAAAAATCCTTCTGTTACTGTGTTCACCGCTTCACAGATCTGACCTGTTACTTGGCCTGCTTGTCTATATGGAGACTATAACTTTAATCCCATAAAAACACTAAGAGCAGCAATTCCCCAAGCAGGTGGTGGACTGTCTACATAAAAAAGGCAGAGCATCTTTAATTTAGCAGTTATCTTGTGTTAGATTGCAGACTATAGCTTTTTCCTGTATTTGTGGAGAGACGCCTCTGTTTGTATTTGATGAAATACGTATTAGCTTGAAGCACAGAGCTCAACTGATTCTTTCTTGGCAACTCCTGCTGTTTCAGACCCAAACCCCACAGGACACTGCAGTCTGCACCAACTAAAGCTTTTGGCAAACACAAGAGGAAATCAATGTGTGTCAAAAGCCAAATAAAACATCAAATTTTTTTGGACCAAAGCCAAGGTCTATTTCAGAGACGTACAGTAACAGCATATTTCAGAAGAATGCTATGAATGGAGACACCACTTTCATTAAACATCACTTTGTGAGGGAGTTTTTAGTGGCTACTGAAAGACACTGTGAGCCTTGTTCAATGTCAGGAATATTATATATAAGTTTTAATATTAACCGATTTTTTTTTATTATATTAAATTGCATATTTCTACAGCATTTTTCAATAACTGGTGCATTAAAGTTGCATTGTATAACTTCTCCAGTGGAGGGTCCGTGGAATGCTTTTCTCCACAGAGATGTTATTGCTTTGTCTGGTATGGTCTTGTATGTTTCACCATATGGTATTATGGTATTACTTTTCTATCTTCATGGGGAGTAAGCCACATCAGATTACAGGTGAGATCTATGCAGAGGCAAACCCGCTCACAGTCAGAATGCCTGTATTCCTAGGTATTTTTGAGTTATACAACCACCCATAATTGAAAAAAAAAAAAAAAAAAAAGAGGTAGAGCCGTTTAATGTTAATGTCCAGGCAGAGCAATGGCATCCATAAAAACAAGCAAGTGATGGACTCTTAGCCAGAAAAGTTACACAATGCACCTTTAAATATGGTTATTTTTTTGACAAATGACTAAATGTCAACCTTGTCTTGCAGTGTGCTTCAATGTTTGCGATCATTAGATCTGGAGTACCTGACAGTTCATGCCTACAAATCAGAGATGTTTTTATGCATCATTTTCTTGGATATGGCCCAGCTGGAATAGCATAAGTACATAATCCTGTAAGGAAAGTGTTATTTATTTTCATTGATTATACAACGAAATGGGTATTAAGCAGCAGTTAAGTTAATTATTCCATCTATTTATGTCCACTGAGGGATGCAGATGATGAAGTGGATCTTATAGCGTCGAGGGATCATACAATATAATTACATTTAGTTCTCTGAAGCTAACACATGCAAATCCTAGATTTTCAGAAAAGTCAATACAGGATCAATGTCAACCTTGAAAAACAGGTGTACTAACTATTCTGCTAGTTCGCCCTCCCAAAAGAAAAGGATGTTTTTGGTGAAGGAAATACTACCTGCCTGCCTCACTGTTTTTTGGATTTTTTTTTTGTCTAGAATGTTCCACAGTATAGCATCAAACTGTATTTCCATGGAGACAAGCAGGTGACGTCACCAGGCCAAGTTACAGGTCAGAAATAACACATGTTTTTCAAGGTATATTTGAGCAATAAAACCCTTATAAATGAATAAATACAGGATAAGATCTTGTCATACAGGGGGACATTAAATGAAACAAGCAGGCTGCAGGCTCTCTACTAGAAAAGTTAGATGATTAGATAATATGACACCACTTCACGTTTTATTATCCTGTGTTATTAATTTAATATAACCTCGGAGAGCAGCATGTGTTATCACCGAAAGTACCATTAATCATCTCCCACAAATCTGATTGTTCTTGGTCTGACATTCACCTGTGTCCCTTTCACGATCAGAAGAATGAAGCCAGATGGGAGTGAACAAGACTCAGCTCTGCTACATCCTCAGCTGATTTCCCCAGGCAAATCATCACTCAACAAGATGCATGCCGAAAAACTACAGGGACATTTCCCTCCAAACACTAATCCTGTATTGAATATATAACATTGGTTGGATTAGAATGATAGTTTTGCTCCTGTGAATTTTGTTTATTGGCAGAATGAAGTTTCCTTTGGCACAAGGCAGTCTCTCATGAATGTTGTATTAGGAATTAGTCAGGGTAGTTGTAAAAATGTAATATTTTTGACAAATCGTTAGCAGCTGGTTGATTTCTTCATTTTTCATTAAAGGTTTTCCAAATTGGTTAGCAATGTGTCCAAAATGGAGTTCTAACATTTTGATGTTGGACTGTGAACATCTTTGAGTGTAGTGTAGCCAGATATAAATATGGTTCATGTATGTTAATTTTATGCATTCTACACTGATTTGTGCAGCCGGCTAAGACTACATATTTTTTCCATATGCAAAGAAGTGTTGTCTAGGCCCTGTTCTCATCTCTTTGAGTTACGATGGATGTGACTGGCAGGTAAAGTAGTCAATCAGAGAGATACATCCATACACACACAAAGCAACAATGTAATATAGGTTAGAGATGCTTGATTTTGTGAGTGGTGATATATGAATATTGTGAATCCATTACACAGAATATTGATAAATGTTTTTGTATACTTGCCTTGGCTCCTTTTTGTTTTCTTGTTTCTTTGTTCCCTCATCTCATCTCAGAGCTAGAGCAACATTTATTCTATATTTGAATATGAAGGACCATTTGTTTTCGGGGACATTGTACATTGCATAGATGGAGTCCATATACTGCAGCAACACGACCAGACACTTGTGGTCCATTTGGATGCATGCTTCTGCAGTTTTCAAAGGATGTGAACAATCTCGTCACTGCCACTTTAGCTCAAGTGTTTTCAAGTGTAGCAGCACAAAAGCACGTTCCCGATGTTATACCAGGTTATTACCACATGAAGCTCATGCTACCTGCACGCTCAGCTATAGCCTGTTGTACACTCCAACCACAGACCGCATAAAGAAGTGGACCAAGGGAGTGTGACGTCACCCATAATGTTGAGCGCCAGTCAAATGATCTTAGCGGTTATGGGGGTGGATTTGGGGCTACGTGGTGCTCCATTTAATGACTCAAATGAGAATAAAAAGAAAGAAATTGGGACAACTACTACTCATGTAAAAATAACTTGAAAGCCACTGTGGTACATAAATTAGTAAACAATATGAAACAAGATCTGGAATTTTCCAAGGGCAGACACAAAATTTTATGTGTATACATATATATATATATATATATATATATATATATATATATATATATATATATATATATATATATATATATATATATATATATATATACATATATATATATATATATATATATATATATATATACATATATATATATATATATATATATATATATATATATATATATATATATATATATATATATATATATATATATATATATATATATATATATATATATATATATATATATATATATATATATATATATATATATATATATATATATATATGAATTTGTGCTCTTTGAATCAGGAGCGGTTCAAAGCACAAATTAACTAGAATTCTTTTTGTCTTGATTTGTGCTGGTTTCAGTAATCGTCTGTTAAAAAAAGTCCTTTGCTTCTAAACCTCAGAAATACTAGTATGTAATTTGAATTTTCCAAAGATTGTTGTGTCACCGGTATAGAAACCCTTCACTGTTTTTAGGCCCATAAATCATTGCCAGACTTGTTCAAAGCATTTGTAGTTGTTGATTGTGTTGATTACAAATATGTCTGAGCATTATCTAGTTTAATTTTGTTTCCTCATGTTAATTCTCTCTGCTGCCTGTAGATGGGGGGATGCATCTGTTTCCAGTACAAGAAGCTTAATAATGATGTGTGGCCATTATTTTCATTCATCAAGTTCTAAAACATGACATGCCATAAGCAAATCTACTCAAGAGGATGTTTAAAGGACCCTTATTACAATGTTTTTTTGTTTTCTGTTATAATGTTGTTTCTTCTTCAAAAATCTTCCTCTGGGAGGAGACTGAGGAGTATTAAAGCCAGAACATCTCGGCTGAAGTCCAGCTTCTTTCCTGAGACTGTCAGACTTTTGAACAGTGCACACTGACTTCCTGATTGGGCTTACCACATTTTACTTGTAGTTGTCTACTGGAACTGCTAAATGTTGTTGTTTTTGATGCATTTACTTTTTAATATTGCTTATTTATTATTATTTTTTTTTATAATAAATGATCTCAGGATCACTGGGCCTCGGGGAGCACATTTCGTTCTGTCATGTGTTTCTCTTGCATGCTTGAATGACAAATAAAGAACCTTAACCTTAACCTTAAAAACATACCCAGAGTTACTCAAACATGTGTGAACAAACCACAACTCCAGCCATGTTTTTGAGGAAGTAACAACATTATAACATGGTTTAAAGCTCCTAAGAGTCCATTTCGCATAATATTGAATCTTGAAAGGCCAGTCACAATAATGCATTATTTTTATCCTTAAACTTACTTCTGCTTTTATGCTTCCACCCATTTGATGTTTGATTTTGTGGCACATCTGGGCTAAATGCACTTGAAAATATGATTAGCTCTGGTAGTCGAAGGACCAAGCTGTGATGGTTTTTCTCAATTATCACCATAGCCATAAGGGGGCACATGATTAAAACAGTGAGAGTGGAGTCATGCAGTGGATAGTTGTTGAGGCAATTACGTGATGAGTATATGATGGTTTTACGTGCCATCACAACATTCAAGAATTCCTATAGTTTAACACTGAGCTGGAGAACAGGTCACAAGATTACACATTTGTTCACTGGGCCTATCCACATGCAACAAAAACAGGCACATTCAACATCTTCATCAACATTTCTCTGGGGGTGTGTCGCTAAGTCGAGGCACTATTTCGTCTGAAGCTTTAGTTAGACGTTAATCTGACTAGAAAGAACTGACTTAGTTTTAATTAAAACAGAAGAGCTGATGCTGTGCTCGCTCACACATAAAATTACAGCTATAGCCAACAGTTTTTCAGTTAGTCCCTCTCACCTTTTTGTGGAAAAATATGACCATAAGCACAGGCTCCTGAAAATATGTTATTTAAATCAATTTCACATTTTTTCTTGAGTTTTCAGAGTATCTTAAAACTTTTTTGACCGTGTTTGCTAATGTGTCTATTGTGTCAACATGGTAATTATAACAGTTTTGTCTATTGTTTACATGTTTATCCCCAGTCCAGCTCCATGCCCCAGTTTGATCCAGTCCATCTTTTGGTTTCTCCCTGTTTTTCCTGCAGTTGTCACTCATTCCCTAATCATCCCTGAATGGCTATAGGGAGTTTATATAGACTACCTTGTCTATATGAACTCCCTCTAGCCGTTCAGTCTTTGCTGGATTGTTGATGAGTCAAGAGTCACTCTTCAGCTCCGTATCTGAATATATCCTGTAGTTGCCATTGGGCATTCTGTATTGTCTGATTCTGAATTATTTCCTGTTTGACTCTGTTTCTGCATTTATACCCAGCCTGTTTTTGTTAAAGATTATTTCCAGTTTTGGAGGATATTTAAGTTCACATAATAAAGAAACACTATATTCCTTAGTTGTTTATCAGCCCGATTTGTGTTACCTGTTGTAGGACACGTTTTGTTGAACTGAAAGACTTGTAATAACATGCATAGATCATCATTTTAAACTTTGTTCATTGTAAAGAGCAATATTGATCTAAAACGGCTTGTTAAGAGAAACTGAAATCCCATTTAAATGATACAGGCTCTTCATAAAGGCATTATAACACTTGTCCCTACTGCTGTTCACAGAAGTGGGCAGAAAGCATGCAAGTCTATACAGGGCTAGTCAAATATGCATGCATCATCAACTAAAAAACAAACATTTAATAAACTAATGATGAGGGAGCACGGTTACGTCCCCTTTAAAGGTCCTTCTTACCTTTTACCTTTTGACTGACATATTGAAACCCTTTGCTTTGAGAAGTATTGACTATATTTCCTGCTGTGATGACACTTGTTCTAAGGACATGGAGAAGATTTTCATTTCCAGGTTCAAGAGTCTCCAGCTGGGCCCTCCACACCTCTATCGCTATGGAGACAACCCCCGTGGAGATGTGGCCAAAAAAAGCGGGGTGTTGTTCCAGAGGAAATTGAAAAATACAATTTGCAATCAAGTCTAATAGGTCTGGCGTCATGACAATGTTTACAAAGGGTTGAATCATGTTTAGTGAAACATGATTCAAAATGAATGTCACAGGCACCTTGGCCTTCAATCTGTTATAAATGAGTAAAAGAAAATGTTTATTGTATATTGTTATATTGCCAGCTGGAAAATCCCACAGGTTCCAGTAACACACTTTTGTGGAAACATCGTTCAACATTTTAGCCTTGGAAAAGCAATAAAGTCTATTCACAAACAGCCTGTTCAATAGAATAACATAGATTACACAGGGTTCAATAATGGCACTAATTCCCAGAACCCACCAAGGCCTTTTTCCAGCACCACTTCAATAGAAGTGGCTTTTTCATATTACTGAGCACAGGGACATTTCTTTTTTGTATCTATTCTTATGGATTCTAAGAAGTAGCTGCTGTCTCCATATAATAGTTTTCTGAAATCCCTTCCTTTGTTTGTAAGACAACATAAAAACATAATTTCTCCAAGTGGAGTTTAAAGCTTATACAGGATTTAGCATCCAAGTTAAATTACACTCCAATGACTGTGGAAGACTTGTCAGTTCATACTTAAATTGTCACTTTTCTCTAAAATAAAGTGGTTGTGTTACAGATACAGATTTTGTGGTATTGAATGAGAACAGAATTAGACAAAAAAGACCCTGTTTTCCTTGCTATATTTGGCTGATAAATATTGTAATTCCTGGCTGGTGTTACTTAGAATAAAGTTTGAGTCCTGACAACATTTTTATAGATGATGGATTACAGATTGCGTCTTAAACTCGTCTCTGTCCCTAACTGCCATATGCTCTTCTAAATGTATTTAACGGACTCTATTTTATGAGCTGAAGCTTGTAGCATCATACATACAGCTACATTATTAACCATCTCGTTTTATATTTCTATTTAATAAAGCTTTTAAAGAAACATATGGAAATGTCATTCAAGCTCTACTGACACCGCTCAAAGATTAGCCTCATTTGCCCTTTAAATGTATGTGTTTTTTTACTACAATATTATGAGTCATAGCTCCACAGGAACTGGAGCAGTAGGAGGTGACTGAAACACTTGGAAGAAACTCTTAAGAATATGATGATAAAAACAACTCCATAGGACAGAATTAAGACAGATGCTCTGAGTAAAACTGCAGGTCTTTCAATTTCGATTTTGACTCAAAAATACTTTAAAAAAAATCACCGTCACTTGGCTTGGTCATAGACTGCTCATCTCAATACTGGGGAACATTCCAAGCAAAGTAATAAAATCTCCATGGAGACATACAGGTGGCCCTCCAAAAGAGAAGTTACATAATGCACCTTTATCTAGGAGACCAAACACATTTCACCGTCTTAATCCTGAATTTAATTTTAATCTGGTTCCTATTGCAGAATTAAACTATACCTATACCTGCAGGTTAAAGGTGAAAACCCCTGAACTCAAACAGAAATTTATGATACTCCATTCTTCATCTATGGAGACAAATGGTCCAAACTTTACACAACGCAGTTTTTAATATAGCCCTCATTCATACGGAAATCTGCAGACGCATCGCAATTAGACAGATAATACTGCATAATTTTGTCTATAGATGTGCACTGAATCACAAGTATGTCTGAAACCAAGAAAACTCCATCCTTGTTTTTAGATTCTGATAATATAGGACCTTAATGATGCAAATGGGTTGAGCAGGTCTTTTGACACCCCCCACCTCTAGTGATGACAGTACAACATTGAGTTTGGACGCTTGGCTTTTGAGACTCAAAATCAGCTGTCTTTCATAGCATTCATTTACTACATGACAGGGAGGCCAACGCGATATTTTAGGCACAGCGAGTGAATAAAAGTATTCAAAACAAAAATACCTTGAATTTCCTGAATGTTATTCTATTGCCCCCTGCAGGAAAAAAATAGTAATCGTCAGGTTCATTTTCTGTAAAATTGCACAATACTAAACAATAACATTTTGGAAAAATATGATTTGATATAGTGACATCTTAACATATGTGATTCCAGTTGTCCCTAGTAAAATGTCAAATATCTATTTAATTTAACTGCCTTTTCAAAGATCTTGACTATGTTATTAGACTATCTTATCTGCTTAATTATAATTTTAATTTATTATTAGTATTTAACTATGCACCAGAGATGGTTTCCTGGTTATCCCCACATGCCCTTAAGTTATGTATGAGTTATTTGCTAGCACATTCCTTATTGTAATTGATATTGAATTTATTGAAGTCCAGAACTAATGTCTTGGTGGTAATATTCTCACCCACAATTCCCCATGTTTTTAATTGGGTCATCAAACAAGCGTGCTCTGACAGACACTTCAGGGTGAATCATTAAATAATTTATTCCATTATCCATATGTGGTAATACAATGGGTTCATGATCAGCTTATAAAATATGTACAAAGCAAATCATTACTGTTGAAAATATGTGCTTATATAGTAAAAGGCGTATAACATCTTCATTTTTAATTAAAACAATCTTCGATGCTTGAACATGATCTCCCATGCGTGCAGTTTGTAGTGGCTTACAGAACAGCTGGTGGACAAAATGGTGGTTGGGCTCTTAAGAAAGGCTGCAGTTGGACTGTTTAGACTCTCTACCCTGGAAACAAATTGAAGGATATTAGGACAACAGCACTTCCTGTGAATCCTCTGATCAAATACAGGAGTTGCTCATGTGTCTCAAAGGCATGTTAGAGGAGTTTGACCAATTAAGGAGATCAGAGTGAGCGTTTCCATGACAACAGTGTACCTACATGTTAACGCATGCTACGGACGGCTAATCTTTCCCGGTACCTGTTGTCTCTGCTGCTGACGCCGGTATTCTTCTTCACTGGCAGCGAGAGCCTGAGCTAGAGCCAGATCCTCCTGCTCCTGAGGGCTATGAGACACAAACTAACATTATTCAATTGTCCAGACAATCAAAAAGTTTTATCTGACATTGTTCTATATTCTCGTTCCAGAACGCGTTCTCAGAAAAGTTTAACTGCCATTGTCCGAGAACAAATCACAAAAAATAGGAACAAAAAACAAGGCATGATAAAAGCATGCATAAAAACAAACTGACTGATTTCATGACCAGTGATCAAGAATTATTACTGGTTTGATTTATGTTATATCATTTGCTATATAATTTTAAGTCAGTTTAACTATATTCTGAAAGGTTCTGAAACTGTTATGTGCATTTGTTTATGTTGTCTTGATGCTGAGATTGCACTGTGCTGCTGTATTGGTGTATTGCACTCCCCAGAACAAGACATAAGTAGCCTCAATAGGATTTTCTGGTTATAAAAATGTGTACATATAAAATTATTGAGTTTAAAAGGGTGCACTCATTCTATATTTACTTTTAATGTGGCTAAAATCCAGCACACAAAAACACAAAGACACTCTAGTAAATAATGTCGTATCTGCAGAATCCACTCATACTGCAGCTGAGCTGCACTGCATTAATGCAGTAGAACAAACAGGAGGAGTGAGTGCACAAATCAATAAACTCGTTTATACTTCTTATAGTCTAAAAGTTACTAGTATGACTGAAGTAGCATTTCTATTGTATGTATTTTACCATTTACTGGGTGTACATATAAAAGTATATGCTTCTGCAGTGTGGTGTAACTGTGCTTACCTAAGAGTGGGCTGGACAGGCGGTCTTGACTCTGCTAGAGACATCTCCAGGGCTCTTTGTAAAGCCTGCTCTTCTGTCTGTAATCACAGCATGAGTGGCAACACTTAGAGTTTCATCACATAAGAACATCTCCAAGTCTCTGCTTGAATGCTCACCAGGCCGGCTTGGAAAGACACTGAAGGAGGTATTACGCTGTGTGCTGAAACTGAAGTTGGGATTCGCTGGGCCGTGCTAAAAGTAAGAAATAAAGTTGATTAAAGCAGCAGGAGCATTAAAGCAGATCAAAACAAGTTACAAGAGCTTACCTACTAGTGCTGCTTCTATTACTTGTGCTCACGCCGTTAGATACAGGTCTAGAGTTCCCTGAAGAGGACGAACTTGACCCAGAGGCTGAGGTAGAGGAAGCACCATGGGATCTCATTAATGCAGCGTGTCTGAACATAAAAAACAATAAATCTCAACAACAAGCACAATAATTTAATTTGGAAATATTACAGTGGATTATCACATACCCTGATTTGGACAGAGGTTTACCATCCGTTTTACAATCATGGTCTAATGGATTACGGTGTTTAAGACAATAATTTAAATGACATTGATCACATGTCACTCGCATCATCTCCTTCTGCTTACAGCCACCTTTAGAGCATTTGTTTGTAAAGATCTGAAAAAGGCAACAGGCACAAAAATAAGTATTTAACTGAACTATAATACTTGCATTACTGACAATAATCATTAGTTGGTATAAAAAAACATAACTGATAACTAATTTATCTCACAGAAGAGAAACTCATTTGTCAAAACAGCTTTTAATTGATACTTTGCAGTGACATCACGCTGGGGATGTCCTAAATACATCTCTAAAGGCAGAATATTCAGTAGTTACCATGGTGACACAATGCACACAATTATCAGACAGACAAAAAAATCTGAAGATAGTCTGAAAACTTAAGAAAATTGATTTAAACAGCACATTTTCAGGAGCCTGTGATCAATACAAGCATTCATGGACCTGTTTAGGTGTTAAGACGGTTGACTACTGCTAGCTATCTTGTGTCTGTAATTTGATCTGCGAGGGACTTAAGAGCACAAATCATCTCCCCTATTGTAATTCCAACCAAGTCCGCTCCATCTAGTTGGATTGTGTAAAAATAAAACTCAGATTTAGCCTAACTTGTGTAATAGAGCTTCTAACAGAGTAGTGCTTCACACCCCCAGGTAATGTTGATGGCATCAGGTGCAAAGAATAAATTGAAAAACATGTTCACCTTTCTTTTCCTTTGTGCTGGATCTGACTTGCAATCTCTGTCAATATGTTCACCGACTTTAATATCAGGCATCTCCCCCCTTTTTACAGGAATGGGAATGTTGCACAAGGGACACACAGGCACCTGGATATCCTACATGATACAAAAACACACACAAAGAAATTACACAAAACTATTAGTTACAAAACAAACTTATAAACACACAAACTGTGATATGTTTTTTAAGTAAAAATAAGGTAAATAACATACCTTTTTGTAGGATGAGGTGCATTTATGATTAGCATAGGTTATATGGTCTTTACAGAAGATTTCTTGACAAGCATCACATTTCATGGGAAGAAAATCTGCCAAAAATTACAAAATCTGTAAGATTTAGTTTAATCTTCTTGTGTCTATAAATGGCACTTAGCTGAACTCACCTAAACGTTTACATGTTTTTTCTGAGCAGTGCTCCCCCAGATCAGGAAACTCCATTGTAGAAGACTCTTTGTGATGATGAGAAGATCTGAAAAAAACAATTAAGTGACACATGGAATACAAAATCTGAATGAAATCTGAGAAGTACTTTGTACATAATGCGTACATCTGATCATTAGGGGTGAGTATGAATGAGTATGTCACAGATAAGGACTAGGAAATGACTTGCAAAATCACGTTCATTCTGGCTGTCATCTTTTCCAGCCGAGTAGCTTGTTAGCTAGGCCATGCTAACGCTAAAAGATTAGTTTAGCTTGGTTATATAACAGGGTCCAACTTTCAACTAGCACCGCGAAGCATCTTGAGGAACTGGACAGAATGACTGAACCCATAAAAGTAAAATGTAACAACAAAACCCAGACACATTTTACCAAATCTGAATAGCTGCTAAAAGCTAGCTTAGCTAAGATTTTTCAGATTAGTTACACAACAGTTATTTGAACAAAGCGGATGATTGTACGTAAGTTATATTTCACCTTTTAAATTAAACAGTCTAAAATAGAGGATACAACTGCAAACTTACTTTGACAACAGCTTTGTCAAAACAAAGCTGTTGAAAAGATGACAGAGGAAACCAGCTAGCCTTAGCTCTCTCGGTGTTAAACTTACCAGTGTCTCTCTTCTCTTCGGCTTGTTCCCTCAAAACAGAAGACTCCGATGACGATCAAGAAGAAAACACGCTAGTATGTCGATTCGCTGTTGAGTTTTACGTCTACACAAAGCAGATCCCTGAGAAAAGCGGTCCGTCGCTGCGGCTCGCTGGGACGTTTTCTGGTTGTTTTCATCAAGTTTGGTGGTTTTGATGTGTCACGGACGCTCCGCCCACACGCCCCTTACGCACGGGTACGTCACTTGATACGTAACTGTGGGCGTGGTCACAGGGAAGCCCTCGCGGTGGAAACTTCAGGTTCACTCTCGAAGCATCCAACAGGCAGATTACATGTTAATTGACTAATTATATGAGCCATTTGTTCATATGAATGTGTTTGATGAGAAACTAAACTCATTAGTGTGCTGCAGGTTTATGAATCATGTTTCTTGTTTTAGCCTTAGCTGTTTGCTGTCATGGATCTACTGGTTCCATCTTTATTATTATGCCATGTCATGGTAGCAATCAGCCTCCACGTGGGTGAATCATGATGACAAAGCACACAAGCCTACATATACACAGAACAGCGACACTAGACTAGACATACATTTGTTTAGACTTTTGTCTACATTTGCTGAATTTCCCTGTTGGCTGTATTAAAACAAACAAACAAAAAACCTAGTATATAGGTACTTTTGACTTACCACATCTAAGTGAGCTGAAATATCAAAACTGCATGAATTATGTATATAACACATATTGTATATGGGCAGTACAGGATTTTGACACACGTTGTGTTTAAATGCTTCTTGGGGACATTACGTTACATTTATTTTTCATACATTTATTACTTGCCTAACCTTTACGTGTAACCGTAACATGACCTATTTCAACTCATACCTGAGCTTTAATAATGTTGTTTATCTAATAATTAAAAATTTATATCACTGGCCGTATTTTTATCCCACAAAAAGGCATGTTCCAATGAAATAAATGTATATACAATTTTAGTCCACACAAATCCCACAATAACCAAGCTATACATTAATTAATGGTTAATGATGTCGTCTTTTGTCCTTCATTCCAGTGAGTTAAGCAGAGGAGCTGAAGTACGCTTGGCAAACACCAGAAAATACTGATGAATATTTATGGCCTATACCAGCAGTTCCTAACCGTTTTCTACCAGAAACCCCTATTTTACCTGTGTATATGTTCACATTCTTCAATGGACAGTGCATGTTAAAAGACAAATATAAGTATAAATATAACAAATAAAGAAACAATAACAAATATATTAGTGATGTTACTGAACTGTTTATTATTATGATTATAATATGGTGACCTGACTTCCATATTTACCTGAGACAGTCCTAGTTTTGAGCCTTGTCCACTGTCCAGCAGATTCATCCAAAACCAGTGATTTGTCCCAGTTTTATACCAGAAATGTCCCAGTTGTCCCTATCTTTGACTAATCTGATACCCACCAACAGTGAAAAGGGGAATATAATATCAATTGTTTATCTTAGATACAGAAAATGGTACTTGAAAATGAAAATATATCAGTTTATGACACACAAGTGAGTTGAGAATGGACAATGTTGTGCACTTTTTTCACAGTTTTATTCATGCCAACCGTCTCAACCCGTGTGTGTCCCAGTTTTGAATTTTGAAAGTCTGGTTGCTCTATATTATAAAATACTGGTGACTCCATGAAAATCTTTGGGTACCACTCTCAAAGTTGTGAATGGTTGGTCTATACTGTAATCTACTGTACATTTAAAGATTTAAATTAAAAGGCCCATATTACTCTATTCTCTAATCTACGTTATAATGCTGTTTCCTAATCAAAAACTTACCTGGAGTTATGTTTTGTTTCATTCACAAACACACAAATCCTGCATATTTAGGCTGAGTTCTCCTCTCAAACAGAAAACACTCTTTCACTAAAATCATTTGGATAGTTTCAGCCCTGTAGCTGCCAATCTCTACTAAACTAAAGGTAAAAGGTAACTGTTAACTGGAAGGCTACACAAGATGGATCAGAGCATTTTGAGCTTTGGAAATGTAGACAGACTAATAATAAAGGGTTACGGAAATGTATGAGAATGACATAAATCACAACTTAAGGTATGTTTTTGATGAGGTAACAGCACTGTAATGTGGTTTAAAGCTCACAATAGTCAATTTTGGTAATATAGAACCTTTAATAGGCCTAAGTGAAAACATGATAGATAATGAAAGACAATTCCAACTGCAGATGGGTAGTTCTAGCATTGCCTGTAGCCCCACACAGCCCAGTATGAATGACAAACTCATACGCCTTTAGCACACAGTTGACAGAAGGCCAATGATGACAGCCATCTTGTTCCAAAACAGCCCTTCACATCTCTCGGCGTCTTCATTGTAAATGCAAATGATGCTGCTCTGACAACAATCAAGATCTCTGGGGCTGCCGAGCTTTTCCTGAGCGCGTCATTTGTCGACTTTAGCCCCTCTGCCAGCTGACTGCCTCCTGAAAGCACTTTTAATTAATTTGTCACCACTGCTCATTTCTGCTCATTACGCTCCACAATGCGTTCCCTTCACATTCTTCAGTCGGGATTATTATGGACACAGTCATTTTTGACAAGTAATTACATCATGTCACATTTACATCTCTCCCACTTTAAAGTAATTGGTTCGGGTCACATGTTTTATTTTAATAAGCTTCTAGAATTATTACCAGCCAATTAGTGAGCATGTGTGTTTTTGAGTGGGACATTCATTTCACTTTGGTGCTCAGTTTGGCTGGTCACAAAAATTCTCACATTTAAAATTTTTCTTGGAAATTGTAATTATGTTGTGAGGCCTAACTACTGTTTGTCCTCTAATCTTAATCCAATTTAAAGGTCCTATATTACACAAAATTGACTCTAGAATGTTGTTACCGCCTCAAAAACATACCTGGAGTTGTGTTTTGTTTCATTCACACATGTTTGAGTAACACTATTATTAGTCTGTCTACATCTCCAAAGCTCAGAAGGCTCTTTTCCACCTTGTGATGCCCTGTATAGTTTCCAAGATAACACCTACATTTTGTCCTTTGTTTAGTAGAGATTAGCAATTCCAGGGCTGAAATGATCCAAATTATTCTACTGAAGGTGTATGGAGTTTAAAAATATAGTAGAGCACTTTCTACATTACCACATGACGTCACATAGTGGAGCAGAGTGTTTGTGAGAAGAATTTGTGAAAACTCAGGTTAAATATGCAGGTTTGTGTGTTAGACATGTGAATGAAACAAAACACAAAACAACTCCATGTATGTTTGTGATTAGGAAACAACATTATAACAGAGCAGAAGACTGAGTATTATGGATCCACCCTTTAATCTTGCAGGTGCAGCCAACCATTTAAATTTTCACTATTCTAACAGGGCTTTTATGTGTGTTGAATTGCATTTCCAAGTTTACAATTTTGTTTTTAGAACTAAACACACGTGCATGGAATACTGGGCAAAATAACTGATCAATAGGCTGCAGTATTTTTAATTGGGCATATAAAACTGCAGTGGAAAGTATGGTAGAATTGGGATTTTTACTCAAAATGCTGTTGTTGAGGTTAATAATACGTCTGTAAATATAAGGCCTGTTATCTGTGGTAGAAACTATAGGAAAAGAAAACTGAAGGAGACATAGCGGCTATCCATAGACATAATGTGCACTATTATAATATTAGTCACCAATGCAAAACTATTTTTTTTTCTCGTGGTTTTCTGCAGGTTCAACAGCAGAGGGCAGCAACAGACAGATGAAGAGTGAGGTTTTCAGGAGGCCATTGCCAGGATATGGACCATAAACTGTGATGTGGATACAGGTTTAGTATTTCATTTTTTATGATTTGGGAATATCAGCAGCAGCGGTTGTAACAGGAGAAAATTGTAGTACGTTTTACTATTGTTGACAACAATTAAAATACTACTATTATTTATATGTGAGTAATGGTTTGAGTTTAGTTTTTGTTTAGTATTATACTACATTTGATTAATATTATATTACTTTAGCTGTGATGTTTTCAAACTCTTCACCTCATAATTGGTTTGTCTTGAAGCAATTAATTTATACAAGCATCTCTCTAGCGAGTGAATTACTTGAGTATAGCCACTAGAGGGAACCAGAGGACTTTTTATCTGCAGATTTTTGCTTCTTTGCCCATAATAACCATTTATTTTATGCTCTGCTGATATAAACATACCATAAAATGTTAAAGCTCACTTTAGTTCATATTTAGGGAAGCTAGGATAGGAATACTGCTACAATCTATATTATCCTGATTTGATGCCATATCCGCCCAGTACTGTATAGTGAATTTTTGAAACGCACTGCAATTATCTGTTTTACACTGTGTAATCTCCTGGGTATGTTGTTATATTTTGTGTAGTGGCAGATGGTAACTACAATTCCTCTTTGTAATCTGAAGAAATAACTAGGGACTGGCTTGTTAACTCACTTCCAAGTTGGAAACAATAACTCTTGTATGTTCAGCACTCAACTCTCATCAAGCACAATGTTCGGATGCCGAATCTCTGTTTAGTTTACAATTTCAACATTAGAAAAAATGACAAACTCTGAACATTTCAAGAAACAAATGGTGAATTAATGGAGGAGCGCTGTCCATGGTGCTGAAGTTACACTGGTGCATTTTAAAGTAATTACACAGTGGATTGTGGGGGATCTGTTGTAGTGAGAAATTATTTCTACTATTGGCTACATCAATAACAAAAAACATAAGAAATTAAATGGTCTCGTGTACTGAGTTTGCAGCAATCTCTAGTTTACAAGCGGGGCAGAGGGCTAACCAGCTTTGCGATATCCATTGTCCCTAACGGAGTTGTTGTCAGTCCATAAAACACATTTCAAACTTAAAATTCAGCTGCATATTTTCATAATTTTTGCAGTTCAAAAAGTAACAGAATCAGATTTCAAATTATACATCTTGTAGTAATGATAAGCAGATGATAGGCCGATAGCAACCTTAATATAATTCATATTTTTTGAAAGATCCATGGCAAAAATGAATTGGAAATTTACTTACAGAACTAAGTGGTGGGTGGTCACTGATGACTGCCATACATTCTCAATGGACTAACATACTATTTCATACTTGTAATGTTTTTTATCTGTTTGTATCATGAACATTTTTCTTAACCATAACTTTTCAGGAGATTTCACGTCATTTACTCAATGATTTCTGGCCACTCAAACCCCTCTCTCTTACTATTCTAATGCAAAATGCTGTACTCTATAGACCAAGTATTCATCAATGTCCATGTGTATACCTAATATTTATATCAAGCTATTTAAAAGACTGACAATGCCAAGCAAAACATGTAGGATTTCAAAGGTAGTGTTAAGATTTTATACAATTTTCTCCCCTTATATGCCTCCTATTATTAGATTGAAGTTGAATTATAAGCAGTGCTGCCTTCATCTTGTGGAGCTGTAATTAACGTGGGGCCCACAAAAAAAAGTAGAGACCACGGCGCAGACTGATCGGGTGAGAGAGAGAGTGTAGAGCAGAGGAAGAAAAATGCAAATTATTCGGCGCACAAAGGCTCCTCACAAATTGGCGTCACCATTTCTCAAATTATATCATTACTATATTTTGAAAATGTTAATCTGTTGAGCGGATTTCCCTGGGGAGTTGAGTAAATTAGTTCTATTTCCGAGGCTGGCTCTGCGTTTAAGAAAAAAAAAAAAAAAAAAAAAAGCACACTGACGACAAGCACCTCTGATTTGCTGATTACAATTAGACTCCCCAGTTTGGGCTCCTTCAAGCATTGATAATTTTCGGCATATTAAGCACGTTTTAGCAAAGGTGATAAGTCAGTTTTAATTGAAATGAAATTATTATTCTAATGGAAGTTTGGTTATTATTATTAGCAGGCACTAGTCATTGGGGCTCTCATTTTGCGTGTGGAAAATGCTTGGCAGTGGAGAGAGGGGTGAGGGAAGAGAGATTTTGAAGGGCATTAGGGTGTCAGGATTGAATGAGGTAATTTGAAGGGAATTACTTTCTCTTCTATCAGAAATGAACTGAATTAAAAGTCCAAATCAATCGCGCCTTTCACTTCTCCATTCTACTCTGACAGCGGCACAATTACAGATAATTAGATGGGAGGAAACTTTTAATTGTAGGATTAGAGCGTGCGGCGAGGAGGGGATGGGGGGCGAGTGCGTTTTTTCTGGAGTTTTCTTGCTTAAAATCGAATCAAAGGATTTACGGGCTTAAAATGGCAACCAGTCCCCTCTCTCTCACACTGTACACTTTAATTGGAACTGCATCTCCAAATCATCCAAAACAATTAATTTAGATTTAATTCTATAATTATCATCAAATCGAATAATGTGCAACCTAATTTAGATAGTTAAAAATTAACGCGCGTGAAGTTAATTGAGTAATTAAACTCCTAAACTGCCGCCTATTAATTTGGCTGGCTAATTAAAAATGAATGTGATTTTGTGGAGCTAAAGCAGGCATCAGTGTTGGATGGTGCTGTTGATAAAACACTGTGTTCTTTGAGGGCATGTATCAGTGAACACCTTTATAGACTGACTTTCACAACAGAGCTTTATCAGTTTATCTGGATGAGTGCAATCCTCTCCGATCTGCAGCAGCGAGGAGCCAGCCAAGCAGTGACAAGACACAGGGATCAAACTATTAATGAAACTTACTTAGGAAAAGACTTGTTTGCAGAGAGGAGCCAATCACGTGTGAATAATGGCTCTGACTTTTAAACTTATAGACTGACTGAATAAATGATTGACTAACTTTTGGATTGACTTTGTAGGGGCTTCTCACACAACATATCCAAGAAACAAAAAAGATAAATAGCGTAACTTGTAACAAACTTGCTCTGGTAAATCAAGAAGTTGTGTTTATATTTATCTGTACGTGGAGTTGGTGACTATGTATAGCCTACTTTAAGCAACGTTGTCCCATGTGTTTTATACCATAAGTGACAAATAAAATGAACTGTGCTCACAAACTGAAAGATAAAACTGTAAAATATCCCTTTTCTTTTCAACATGTTCAAAACCATTTGCACAGAACTTTTTTTGTTTCACAACTGGAAAATCTATCCATTTCAGAATGATAAAATATTAGGATCATCGCCGTAGCTATTGACAATTCAAAACAATATTACATTTTAATGGAAGAAAAGTCCAGGAACAGGAAGCTGAACCCCAAGCTATATCTATATCTATCTGTGTTCACAAGGAGAAAAGTAAAGATGTAGTTTTTATGTAGTGGAAGGTCATTGCTTGTCCGGGCACTTGGAGTTTTACTGACCAGGAAGCGACAAGATGAGTCCACTGTGATTTCAAAGGGCAGTAAAGAAAGTATTAAAAAATGTTTTACTAGCTCAAAAATGATATGACAATTGATACAGTGTTACAGGGGGTCACTGCGGTATACCAACAGTAAATAAAATGCAAGTTATTATAGGAGCTTTATTAATTATTTAATCTGTATTGTTTGGATTTCACTTATAAACTTTGTGTGTATTGTAGTGAATAACATAAACAAATACTATGTCTATGTTTATCTCTTTTTATCCACAACATTTAATACAAGATACTTCTACTTGCTTCTTTATAGTTAAGAAAATTTTATCTGAATCTGAAAAAAAATATAGCAGTTACCAATATTGTAACAAATAACGAGCAAATGTGAAGATAAAGTTGCAGTACCTATTTTGGAGCCTCTTGTTGGGGGTTATAAAGTGGGGGTTAATGAAAAAGACAGATTGAGCACCCCCCCTGCTGTGCGAATAGCCCCTGTCAGTCCCTGCTCCATTCTCTGGACCTCATCTCTGTGTAATCAATTAGTCTATAGGCCTCGTGTGCTCTTATTGACTGGGATCAACAATATATAAACGCAATAAAGACGAGCTGTCCGCGCGCTCTGACGCACGGCTCCAAAACCCCATCTTGTCAAATGCGGACAAACTATTTCTCTGATCTCTATTGCTTTTTAAGACATGCCAAAGTGTTGTAAAAAAAAGGTAACGATGCAGGGGCAGCAGAGCGACTGAACGCTGGCCCTGTCCGCCTTATTATCGGGTTAATTAAAGCTCCGATCTGACAATGTCACCCGGTTGTAGAAAAACGGATTTAAATGCAGCCTCTCTGGAGACTGTGTCAAGAAGAGGAGGGCTGTTTTTCCATTGAGTCGAGGGACCAAAACCTATACATGCAAAAACCTCCCTCCTATGTGTGTGTGTAGTCAGAAGTGACAAAAAGCAATTATTGAATTTTTAGATGTCCAAAAATAAAGCGAGGAATTATTCATAAGAAGCAGTGCTCGTCGTGGCGCGTAAAAGTTCATTAAAATGGAAGGCCCGTGCGCAGTGGAATATACGCCGGGTTGTTATTTGGGCTTGGGGGTCAAGTGACGAGCGGATTATATACTTCCTCATAATAATATTAATTAAACAATTTGCATGCTAATAGGGTAACAATTATCGCAGCTTCTGTTGAGAGATTCAGGTTATTACAACATGCCAATCCAGGGTGCCAAGGGTCAGGGACTGAGTGGGGTGCGAAATTTCAACTCTGATTAACATTGTGACAGCGCCAGACTTGGGATAAATAAAGTCGAATTAATTATTTGAGAAAAGCTAATGAGGAGATCTACAACTGAAGCGGCCCATATATTGTGGAGGAGATTTTTTATGTTAATTTTACAAGTAGGAACGTGTCTATTTCACGCTCTTGTCCCATTGTCTTTTAACACTCCACAAAACCGACCTTTACTTGACCTGCGTCCGGTTCATACACGTTAGATTTTTCCGGTGTTAAGCCACTTTTAATTTAGTTTTTAATGAAATTGGCAGGAGGAAAATGAAAAGTTAACCCGAGATAAAATGTTTGGTTTATTGTTCTCATAGGTTTACCTTAAGTTGCCATGGAAACACTCAGTTAAACGGACCAGCTGTTAAATCAATTGATTGTTGTGGGGCTCTTGTTTTCTCACACCATTAGGAGTCACTTAAAAACGCATTTCAACATTTTGACTGCACGTTTGATTTATTGTCATTAATTAGTTTTGCTTATAAATACATAATATAAATTGCCATAAAGCTGTCAAATTAATCTAGTAAAAATATACAATAGACAAATATTATTTTACCAATTGTATAGAGAATAACTGAACTTTGATTTTTCATTTATCATTTAAGAATCAAATAATTATTTCACTTGATGAGGAGATATTGACAATAGTGGGTAGGCTATTAGTATACAAACTTACTAATATATTTAATTGGGGCAATTACAGGCTTTTTAATAGGCTAGGTTTTGTTTATTTTGGACATGCAGCTGAAATTACAATGTGTTTTTTTTTTTACAGTTATGGTTAGATCACAGTTTGACAGCTTCTCTCACTTGTCATTGCGTTTTAAGACGCTACGAGATGAGAGAAACACATTTTGGTTTCATGGTTCATTTTTGACTGGTGAGTAAAAGTTGCTGTACTTTTACTTTACTTATACTTTTTTCCCTTCATTTTATTAATACTGACAAATATAAAAAACGTTTTCAATGTACTGTATTGTACAATGTTTGCACAGCCTCGCTCGGGCATTGTAATAAATCCAAATCTTATTTTATGTCATCATGAGATTTATTGGGGTCAAATTAATCTTCTTGTGGCAATTTTAATTACGCATTCAAAAACGTGATGTGTTTGTTATTATACAGATGTATGTAAAAAAAAAAAAAAAAAAAACTACTAAAATACTTTTGTTTAATATGTTAAGAAAATAGCTGTGCGTAAAAGTGTAACAAAGTGCACGTTATTTTCTGTGCGTAATGCCTGTTCCTTTAAACCCATTAAACATAAAGCCTTAATAACCTTCTCTGACTTCCCCTTTAATAAAACATTACCCTAATCAATGTGTGTCGGCGGTCTATAATGCCCTGTATTTGCTGCTCTGTGAACAAAAACTGTCCTCGTGCTGCCTTTTCTCCGCTACACGATCCGCTTTGCTCCTCTCCTCTCGCTTCCTTCCTGCCTCCCTTCCCCTCGCTTCCTCTGGCGGGCTCCCCCGTGTAGTCCGCGATGTAGTTCTTATCAAAGCCCTCCTGTCTTGTTGTGACAGCTCTGATATTGTTTATTGAGGTGGATGTCAGCTTTAATTAGCAATCGATACGGGGGAGCGTTTGCAGCGAGCAGGAGAGGAGACGGAGAGAGCGCGCCTCTGACGTCAGCGCCCCATTACCGCTTCTCATTGGGTCCCGTATTCCCACAGCCTTGGACCGCTAATTATTGGGAGGTTCATGTGGATAAAGTAGAGCTCATCCCTCCCGCTCGCATCATGTCACCCGCTCGTTGGCCGCTGCGTGCTCTTTAGTCTGGTCCGGCCCTTTTTCCCTTTCGCACGTCGCGGTTTCCCCCTTTTTTCCCCTAGCCCTCGGGATGATGGACAGCAGGATACTGGATCCACCTCACGCCCAGTTCGGCATGGTGGGCTTCCCGTACCATCTGAGCCACCACCACGTTTACGAATTAGCCGGCCATCAACTTCAATCTGCGTCCGCGGTCCCCTTCTCAATAGACGGATTACTTAATGGATCGTGCACGGCGTCTGTGGGCAATTCCAACCCCCTCTTGTCTTCGGGCTGTGGGATGAATGGAGATAATCAGCAGTACAAACTGACAGGTAAGACACTGCCAACACTACTATGCACAACACTACTGTACGCGCTGCACAATAACCTTGGCGTACGTGATGCAAAACAGAAACAAAGCCACGTTATTGCAACTTATCCTCTTTGTGGCGTTTAAAGGGGCACGTACAATCAGGTTTATGGATATCGCCTTCATTTTTTGAATAAGTCAGACCATAACAAGAGTCATTACGCGTAGATATAGTCTGTTTGTTGTGCCATATATAATAAGGGCTTTATACCGTTTGTAGCGAGATCGCGTGGCTGTGCGTAAAACAGGCAACGGGAATCCATAAAAATAATACGTAAACTTTAAAAAGCGTTGTATGGTTACCAGTCGGTCCTGGCATATCCAAACGCTGGTGAATTGCGGTAATTTTTTCCATTGTTGACACTTGTGTTGGTTGCTGTGCTCAGACTCGGGGGACCCAGACAAAGATAGCCCCGGATGCAAGAGAAGGAGAACGCGCACAAATTTCACCGGTTGGCAGCTGGAGGAGTTAGAGAAAGCGTTTAACGAGAGCCACTATCCGGATGTGTTCATGAGGGAGGCTCTGGCACTGCGTTTGGACCTCATCGAATCCAGGGTGCAGGTAAATACTACAAATCAACCGGATAATGTGTGTGTAATTTGGAGGTAATTGTGGCTAGTTTTGGCTGTGATTTTATTATTTTCATCAAACAGTTAATACTAGAGAATTCTAAAACATTTCGTATAGTAATGTATTTGTTTGTATACGTGCGTAATCGTATTTTATCACTGTATTGATTTTCAGTCATCCCTGGCCCATGTTAGCAAACTTTATTAAATGTATATTTTTAATTGCAAATAAAACTCAAGAATTAGTTCTATTCAGTATAACTATTAAAGTTTAGAATTAAATAATAAATACAATTTATGTTAGCAATTTTTTTTATCTGGTCAATAATAAGATTTAATATTTTTTTATCACGTAATACTTTAAATTACTGTACCTTAAATGCTGTTTATATGAATTGTTTTTATTGATAAATGTGCAATTGTTTTAGGTGAATTTTGTTCCAATAGTTTTACCACAACTATTTGGCAATTATAAAGCTGGGACACAACACACATAACACAGATTTATGAGTTTGTTATTGTTTACCTTTCAAGCATGATAGCATGAAGTTTTCTAAAGTAGCTCGTTTGTTTGTAGGTTTGGTTCCAAAATCGCAGAGCCAAGTGGCGGAAAAAGGAGAACACGAAAAAGGGCCCAGGTCGACCAGCCCATAACGCGCACCCCACCACGTGCAGCGGGGAGCCCATGGACCCGGAGGAGATCGCGCGCCGTGAGCTGGACCGCCTGGAGAAGAAGAAGCGTAAACAGGAGCGGCGTCTGCTCAAGGCCCAGAATAAAGCCTCTGGTTCTGGGGATCTGTTCCACACGCCCGGGTCGGACAGTGACAGCGGGGTGTCCCACGTGACCGACAGTGACCACAACATGAGCCTGTCTTTTGACAACAACAGCCACCACTCGAGCTGCGACCCTCTCCCAAACCAAAGACACCCGGAGCGGGACATTGGCGGAGCCGACAACAGCGCCCTGAACACGGGGAGCGTGAACAAACTCAACCCGTTCAGCGTGGAGAGCCTTCTGTCGGACTCCAGACCCAGACGCACCCCCGCGGCCTTACCCCCCTCGCGGCCTTTAATAGGAAAAGGACACTTCCTTCTCTATCCCATTACGCAGCCACTAGGATTCATTGTTCCCCAAACTGCCCTCAAATCTAACTCGGCCTCGGCGTCAGGACACAGCGAGGGGCAGCCCGGTGGATCTAGGGCGGACTGTGCGGACTCGTCGGCCACAGCGGAGGACCATCCCGGTGGCAGCAGCCCGCCCAGATCCGCCTTCCAGACTCATAACCCCGGCGTCTGCAGCAGCGACGTGTCTTATGAACACAGCACGAGCCCCGCTGTAACTGCCGACGCGGACAGAAAAGAGCTTTTAGAGCATTTAGAAAACAAGGACGAGAACCCCGCGTCTGTACCACGTGACAGTCCCGTGGACAGCACTAAGGACCTGGAGTAAGATCCTCGGGGTAAAGAGAAACGCGCAGATCTATTTCTCATTAGGCCAAAGCTTCCTTGCTGATATTTTTTGACAATGTGTGTGCGCCAGGAGTCTAGATAGACTATACCTTTAAGTGGTAGCTTGTGGTTGAGCGGGGTTGTATGGGGTAGACCAGTGGGTTGCTGCTCGTGAATAGTTTATTACCACTAAAACAAATATACTGAGGAAATATCAGATGAACTAGCTGTTGCTAACAGGGCCACAGACATTTTACCAAAACAAATTAAGGCAATATAAACATCATTTTATAATTTTATGCCCAATTGACATTTTTGTACTTATACTGCCAATGCTATCTGGGTGTTTCAGTAATCAATTAAATATGGCCCCCAAATAAGAGCACTTGCTGTAAACCAAAACTATTCTTGAAAAATTGCTCAGCACATTTTTAAATGGCCCAGTGTTTGTGTTAGCCTGTAGTTTTGTTTTGGCTTCTTTGTGTGCATCATTAGTGGTAATTGACTGTCCACTAATTATCCTATACAACCCCTGATCCAAAAAACCACACTATCCTTTTAGTGTCTTGTCAAAAACGTGAAGAGACCAACAAAAACCCTCAAGAGCTGTAAAAAGGTATTATACTATTTATATATGTAAGGTTTTTCTTAAATAAATCTATTGTATACAAGCACCTGCACGTGTGGGACCTTAACTAGACCATTACTGCTGCATAGGTCCATGGTACAGTAGGAAAGGCTTTCTTAAGAAATCTCATGTTGTACTTTGTATATTGCCTTAACAAATTTATTCATCTATAAGCCCCTTCTGAAATGAGGTTACGAGCCCGAGGCGAAAAGGACCCGCTCGACTCCTGCAGAGTTTTGATATGAAAGTAATTATTTTCCCGGTGGCTACTGCAAGGGGGATTCAGTTTATTTTAGCTCAAAGGGGGTTATAATACATTACCGATTTCCAGTGATATGAAATCACATAAACTTCCAAGAATAATAGAATTAGCATGAAAAGGCCTGGGTGTCAAATTGAAATAGGAAAATAATAGCCCCGGCAGCTGCAGTGTGTGTTTGTGCATATTGGATGGGAGATGGGGGATCGTGGGGAGGCATTTTCATGAGCTTGTCTCGCTCCTCTCTCTCTCACTTTGTCAGGGCCCCTTGTAGCAGCGCTATATTAAGATAGATGTTCGATGATATCCCTCATTGTCCTGTCGCTTTACATTGATGTTTGGGTGTTATCAGCCTATTGATCATGCGTCCGCTGTAATAGGACGGGCTGGCAAACGTGCCTATTTACAATAGCAGAACACATTTGTTCTAATAGGGTTGGTGGTCCCACGGGACGCCACGCAGGATCTGGGACATCTGCTCCCTTTTGCAATATTAGCAGCGCTGACCACAATATCACCCAATGTGGAAGAAGAAATGTCACACCCTAAAACAAGACAAAAAAAAAAAAGCGAGTTGGAAACCACACAAGCCCCTTTAGTGTTCATCTGGCCGGGGTCTTGATTTGCAAATAAATTGAAAATAATCAGAGAGAGGGGTGAGCTTTACGTCTGAGCCGACACAAATGAATTTCTGAGCCAGTGTCCCTTTCAAAATATTTACATAAATTTCAAGCCATGCAGCTGTTTGCTCTAGGAAGCAATGTCTTATTAGGTTTGGTGGGGGCAGGGGCGAGCCCACGAGCCCTGACATAACGCACATGCACCAGATTATAAGGCCATGGACGGGGAGAGGTGTCCACTCAGCCAAGCTCTGCTCTCAAAACATTTCACAGATCCTGCTATTGTTACTTCTTTTGTTTACATGTAATTCACAAGGAGCTTCTCACAAATTATGCTCATACTATTTCTCATTTAATACCTCAAATACCGTTGTATTTTCTCCCTTTGTTTACATTTTGGACATGAGTGAAAAATGGAAGTAGTTGACTAATTTCTATGATCTATTTAACTGTAAAATAATTTGAGATCATTCAATTGACAAATGTTATTTTTAAGAAGCAATCAACACATAATAATTTTATTGGAACTGGAAAACGTGATGGGGTACACTGATAATTGACTTGGCTTTATTGAACTGTAAAATTGGGAACCCTTGGATAATTGTCATTAAGATTCAGTTGTTTTAATAAGAAGGAGACGTGGACGTGCCCGTGACTTAGCTCTTTTTCACTAAAGGGATTCACTGTTTCTCATTTTTTAAGTCTACAAATTGTGGATATCACATTGGGCCGTTTGAAATAACCCCTAAGATTCATGGCTGTGTATTTTTCATGCTACTCTGAGGCTATTTGGGACGTATGCCCAGTTCATCCATAATTCATTAGCAGACTGAATAGGAGTATCGCTGGCTGCACATTGGTGGCCTTAAGGTGAAATTAGCGATTTGCTTAAGTAGTTAAGCTTTTCTTGCCTGAGAGCTGCACGCTGCATGATTCAAGACAAACTATCAATCGATATGCCCAGGCAGCCTCCAGGAGATGTGTCGTCCATGAATCATACTTTATGAATTCAATTTATACCCGGAGAAATTTTCAATTTGAACGGCGGATCATTATGGGAGAGTGTAAATTGTTTTTGCTCTATTATGCATCGGACGCCATCATTTTTCTTTCTAATTACGGAGGTGTCAGGTCGGGCTGTCATGCAGACGCTGATTTTCAATTTAACTGATCATCATGCATTCATTTTCCCATTTGATAAATCTGCTATCTGGAAGCGCCTCCATGCCCGGAATGCTAAAAGAGAGGCACAGATTGGCAAAGTAATAGGGGCCTGTATGCGGCAATAAGTGCAGATCAGGCAGCTAATTTAGCACCTCCTGGTATTTCCATTTCCATTTCTCATTTCCAAGTCTCAGAGGAGGAAAAGCAGCCCAAAGGCAGGGAGCTGGTAGGCTTTCACTATCGGAGAAAGACAGGGGGAAAATCTACCAAAACGCCTTGTTTTCAACCACACATTTCCTAAATTAGGATATCAAGCTTAATTAAGGCTAATAGAGTTTTCTCAGTATGTGTTAGTTTTATTTAATAGAAACAAATTTGCGCAATTAATTATGGTCGTGATATTGGAGCCTCATTTGCAGTGAGCATTGCACTGGGCTTTACCGCTGCTTCTACCAATATTTATAACAAGAGAATGAGACAAAATTAATTATTTAATGACTGGTTAGGTGTCATATGAAATGCAAAATGTAGCATGCAAAAAAATTAGGTAATACGTTTAATTTCATGCATTTTAAGCATGCGGATAATCCAAAAATATTCGTTAAATTCATTGCAATTTCGACCATATTTTATCTTGAATTTTAAGTAAAAATTAAATAAAAATGTAAAATTATAAAAGGGTGAACGGGGAGGCTTTGGTCCCAAGCTCAAACCGACACGCGGACACAATGCCCTCGCCTTAAATCCCTCGTGCGTCGTGCGTCTGAACAGGCGACTTTGGCTCGCTTTGTGTCGCTCTGTGATACGTTACACTCTGACTGAAGGCTCAGTTTGGATAAGAAAGAAGTGTGTCCCTTAAAACAGGGAAAGGGGGATCCATTATAAAATAAAATGCCACTTGACATTTTGGCTTGTGGTTGGAGCCTCGCGGTGCCATGCCTTTTAGGATTATTTTACATCTCACAGTCATTAATGCGGAGCGGGATTGAATCAGTCTTATCTGGACGGAGCATACCTGGGATAAGCCGCACATTACCATCTGCATTGATTTCCGCGCCGTCCTGGAAATAATTTTAATTATCTCCGGAAAAATCCCTCTCATCAAAATGTAGTTAATGACACTTGCACGAGGTTTGAGCTTCGTTACCGCGAGAATTGAAGAAAATATGGGCTCCACGTGAAAATTCAATAAGGACATAGCCTGTGGTATTTACTACTTGACCTTATGACCTATTTAATAATCCATATGACAAAGGAACCATTCATCGTGTTATTAAGGGGCATTTTTATTACAAATAAAGCAGAACTATAAAAACAATTTGTTAGCTATAATTTGCTTAGAAGTAACAAAATCCAGTATAAAAATATATTACCGTTTGCTTATGAATATTTTAATACACAAAATATCCAAACTTTATATTTGAAAAACAAGCCCTAACCATCTGAAAATAACAAAAGCTGTATATCTTTTTTGGTATATTTGAGAATATAGCCTAAGAGGCCTATATTTGACACACTGCATTCTAAATACATTATATATCACTACTTAATAATAGCCTAAAAACCTTAATAAATAGTAGTAAATCATTCAGTGTTTATTAAATATTAAATATGTATTATTTTATTGCATTATAAAATTGAAATAAAATATAAACACTAGCTCTTGGATATCAACCCATGACGCACATAAAACAAGCAATGATAAATAAAAGTATTCCTCCCCAGTTTCTCAATATCCCTCTAAATGTGTCATGCTTATTAAATATGGCCCATTCTTGCATTATGCAGGGTTCATATTGTGGAGTGAGAGCTGTAGGGGGCATTAGATATTAGTCTCCTCTTCACTCACACAGCTTTTTGCATTAGGTGCTTTGGAGAGGGGCAAAGACGGTGTCAAATACTGTGTTTTTCTGATCTGAACTCACATGCACTTTTGGGGATGACAAGGGGGTCAATATTGGGACAAGATTTAGGAAGTGAATGAGAGGAGTGATAATACACACTGCCTTTCCTTGAACTGTCAAACTAATATTGGTTTAGTTGATGCTAGTTTTAAGATAGATTTCAACACAAAATTTGCTTGCAGTAATTTGATGATCTCATGTGTCAGTCATCTTATTCTGATGTCACGAGTCTGACTTTATGAAATCATCATGGGGGGAGTAACTGGGGGCTTATTTCTTAATGACACATGCTATTAAAGTACACTGAAAATACTAAAAATACAAATTATACTTTAGGTAGATTAAATTATATGCCTTACCTTAACCAACACTGTGATTAAACATTTTACCCTAAACCACTCCTACCAAACTTAAACACTGAAACAAAACTTGCAGGTATAGGCCAAACACAATACAAATATTTGGTAAATTTTGGAACATACAGTTTCACCTCAGAGCAGATACGCCACCATCTGCTTCATCTTATATTTTAAAATAAATAAATCTATATATTACCTCAAAACTTTCATTGGTAGTAATTATCACCTCTCTTAGCTGAATATTGTCCAATATCTGGCTCCTGTGCAGTCATCGTGTAGGCTCATTGGCACACTATATACCACTGTGTATAGATTCATTTACCTATAATTTACTTTAAATATATTTTGGAAAGCCTTGGTGGCCATGATCTAACTCTGATATTAATTCTTTCAAAAATGTAATATATAATTAGTTGCCAGTTGTGCTATTTTAACCTTTAATAATTATAAAAGCAGTAGACATAAGGTACCATAAAACACAGTGCATTTCTTGTAAAAAATAGTACCACAAAGTGTAATATAAACCTTGGTGAAAAATTGTTTGGCAAGGTGAAAGATGTCAAGAGGATACTTACAACAAAAGACCACTAAAGGCCTTATTTTCTTCTGAATGGAGTTAAGTGATACACAATTTAGCTCTGGCAACTTAAATAAACATGAAAAGTGGACGGGCAGC